GTTTCGCAGCCATACATATCAAAGCTGCTCAACGGCAATCACCGTGAATTGTCGTTGCGTTGCCGCAAAAATATCTATTCATGGTACTTGAATTGCAGGCGACATCCGGAAAAGCTCTGTAAGTCTAAAAAACATTTTTCAAGATTTCAGGCATTCGAAATAAATCCCTAATAACACTACTGACATGGGATGCCCACAGTGTTCTTCCCATTGAGGTCGAATGTCACATGGATGCAACTGGTTCCCAAGAAACAAGAATCAGCTACTGATCTTTGCCTGAAATCCCGGAACCAATTCAAAGCAAGATGGGACTTGGCTTTACCGCAATCTGCTTCTGAATTGCTACACCTCTTTTATGTGATTGTTCGGATTAATCTTGTTGTTATAGCGTCATTCCTTGCTGATCCATCCACTCGTTTGGAAACAAATGGTGATGGCGAGCTGATTCCTCAGCGTCGTGAGCGGTATGTGTTTCGTCCGATTCTAATCCGAATCCTGGAAGGATTCTTTGCCCAGACACCATTCCCGGATTTGAATCGGCGAATCGAAATTGCCACTGCTTGCAACCAAGCGCTGCAGATTGATAAAAAAGGTACTGCAAAAGTTTTAAAAAAATTTTTTTCACTTTCCTTTTCATTATACTTGAATACCTAAACTTCTCCTGTGGCGTAGCCAGTAACCATGCGATCAGCTTCAATCTTGGGCTCTCTGCATCCGCGGTACACCATTACATCCGAGCTGACCCAGTACACTGGTAGTCTTCCGACTTTTGATGTGTCGTGGGTACCAGTCGATTATTCGTTCCGTTCATCTGTTGTCTGTCATCACTGCCACATGACTGAAGCAAATTCTTTTTCTAGCATGTGTTTGCTGTATTATTTCATTCATACAGAACGTCGTTGCTAATATGCTGTAGTTTGTTAATACTTAGCATTTGCCTCTGCATTGACCGTTGGTGTCACTGCTAATTTGTTTTCTTCTGCGAAGGTGGTATTCGACACTTCATAAGATGGTTCTCTTTTTATTAATCCATTAATATACTTTTTTGCTTTTTAAATAAAGAGTCTTTTAGCTGTCAGCATTCGCTCCTTATTTGTTGACCTATTTTGATGTTCAACTAAAAAAATGATTTTATTGCTACTGATATTTGATAGGCGTTGGTTTGATGCCAAAAGAAGTGGTATCACCACAAGTTGTTGCGAATTGGTTTGCCAACAAACGAAAAGAACTACGGCGACGGTCCAACGATGAATGCAATGAAGCCAATAATGCAAATTTGTCACAAGTTGTTAGTTTTCAGTGATTTTCTTAAAAAAAAAAAGATGTAGAAATTCTGAATCGAAAGATCTGGCCCGATTGCTACCAGCGCACGGGAGCATTCCAGTAACATCACTAATATGGAATACCCACGCTCTGTTTTCGGACGGTCC